TAAGATTCTTCAAACACCAGAGGTCCCCAAAAATTCTTTCAGATTCGTATAAAAAAAAAACGATAGATTGCTCCGAAATTCTTTCAATAAACAAAAGACAAGAACTCAGAAGATCCTTTCATATTCTTTCAAACAAAAAAACACAAAAGTTCCTGATATTCTTCGCATATTAAAAAAAAGACACTAGGAAACCCAAAGACTCTTTCAAACATTTTTAAACACAAGAAAACAGAAGTTCCCCAGCTTCTTTCAAACTCTCTCAAAAGACAGTAGGGGATTCTAAGATTCTTTCACTCTTTCAAAAACAAAAACCAGAGGTCCTCGAGGTTATTTCAAATTCTTTATAAAAAGACACTAGGAGACCCAAAGATTCTTTCAAACTCTTTCCAAAAAGCAAAACAACAGATGTTCCATAAGTGCTTTCAAATTCTTTCAAAAACAAAACACAAGGGCTCTTAAGATTCTTTCACATATTTCTAAAAAATCCTAGGAAACCTTAAGATTCTTCAAAGATAAGAGCTCTCCAAAAATTCTTTCAAATTCGTATGAAAAAAAGTTGGGTTGCTCTCAAATTCTTTAAAATTCTTTCAAAAACAAAAAACAAAAACTCACAAGATCATTTCAAATTCTTAAAAAAAACACACAAAAGTTCCTGAGATTCTTCTGTATTAAGAAAAAGACACTTGGACACCCAAAGATTCTTTCAAATTCTTTCAAACACAAGAAAATAGAAGTTCCCGAGCTTCTTTCAAACTCTTTCAAAAGACAGTAGGGGATTCTAAGATAAGAATCTTTGAAAGATCAAACTCTTTTCAAAAACAAAAGCCAGAGGTCCTGGAGTTTATTTCAAATTTTTTGTAAAAAGACGCTAGGATGTCCCAAGGTCCTTTCAACCCCTTTCAAATAACAAAAAACAGAAATTCTTTCGGATTCTTTCAAAAACAAAACAGAAGAACTCAAATATTCTTTCAAACATAAACACAAAACAAGATCTGTTTGAAAAAGACACTAAGGGACCCTAAAATTCTTTCAAACTCTTTCAAAAACAAAACTCAGAGGTTCTTGAACTTATTTCAAAATCTTTAAAAGAAAGACGCTAGGATACCCCATGATTCTTTCAAACTCCGAGATTCTTCGAGCCCCCAAATTATTTCATATAGTTAAAAAAAACATTAGGAGATCCTAAGATTCTTTAATATACGTAAAAAAGGCATTTGGTGACCCTACGAATCTTTCTAACACTTTCGAGTTCTTTCAAATTCTTAAATAACAGGCGCTAAGATGCCCAAAAATTCTTTTAAATTCGTATATAAAAAAAGTTGGGTTGCTCTGAAATTCTGTCAAATTCTTTCAAAAACAAAACATGGCCCTAAAATTCTTTCAAACTTTTTCAAAAACAAACCCACAAAAGTTCCCGAGATTCTTCGCGTATTAAAAAAAAAGACATGAAAGCACCCAATGATTCTTTCAAACTATTTCAAACACAAAACAACAAAAGTTCCCGAGCTTCTTTCAACCTCTGTCAAAAACGAAACAATATAGGTTTCAGTGATTCTTTCATATTTGAAAAAAGAAAGTTGGAGATTCTAAGATTCTTTCACATATTTTTAAAAAAATACTACGTAATCCTAAGATTCTTCAAACAGAAATTTCCAAAATTCTTTCAAATTTGTAGAAAATAGACCTTAGGTGCTCCGAGATTCTGTCAAACTCTTTCAAAAACAAAACGACAAATGCCCTTGAAATTCTTTCAAATTTTTTCAAAAACAAAAGACAAGAACTCACAAGATTCTTTCAAATTTGTTCAAAAACAAAACCACAAAAGTTCCCGAGATTCTTCGCATATTCGAAAAAACACACTAGAAGACCTAAAGATTCTTTCAAACTCTTTTAAAAACAAGATAGGTTTGAGAGATTCTTTTACATTTGAAAAAAAAAGTTGGGGATTCTAAGATTCTTTCATATATTTAAAAAAATACTGGGTAACCCTAAGATTCTTCAAATAGAAATCCCAAAAATTCTTTCAAATTCGTATAAAAAGGACCTTAGATGCTCCGAGATTCTGTCAAACTCTTTCAAAAACAAAACAACAAGTACCCTTGAAATTGTTTCTAAAACAAAAGACAAAAACTCACAAGATTCTTTCAAACTCTTTCAAAAATAAAACCACAAAAGTTCCAGAGATTCTTCGCATATTAAAAAAAAAGATACCAAAGGACCCAAAGATTCTTTCAAACTATTTCAAACACAAAACAACAGAAGTTCTCGAGCTTCTTTCAAACTCTGTCAAAAACGACACAATATAGGTTTCAGTGATTCTTTCATATTTGAAAAAAGAAAGTCGGAGATTCTAAGATTTTTTCAAGATTCTTTCACATATTTTTAAAAAATACTAGGTAACCATAAGATGCTTCCAACAGAAATATCCAAAATTCTTTCAAATTTGTAGAAAAAAGACCTTAGGTGCTCCGAGATTCTGTCACTCTTTCAAAAACAAAACGACAAATGCCCTTGAAATTCTTTCAAATTCTTTCAAAAACGAAAGACAAGAACTCACAAGATTCTTTCAAACTTGTTCAAAAACAAAACCACAAAAGTTCCCGAGATTCTTCGCATATTAAAAAAAAGACACCAGAAGACCTAAAGATTCTTTCAAACTCTTTTAAAAACGAAACAAGATAGGTTTGAGAAATTCTTTTACAATTGAAAAAAAAAGTTGGGGAGTCTAAGATATTTTCACATATTTTTAAAAATACTGGGTAACCCTAAGATTCTTCAAACAGAAATCCCAAAAATTCTTTCAAATTCGTATAAAAAAGACCTTAGATGCTCCGAGATTCTGTCAAACTCTTTCAAAAACAAAACAACAAGTACCCTTGTAATTCTTTCTAAAACAAAAGACAACAACTCACAAGATTCTTTCAAACTCTTTCAAAAACAAAACCACAAAAGTTCCCGAGATTCTTCGCATATTAAAAAAAAGACACCAAAGCACCCAAAGATTCTTTCAAACTATTTCAAACACAAAACAACAGAAGTTCTCGAGCTTCTTTCAAACTCTGTCAAAAACGAAACAATATAGGTTTCAGTGATTCTTTCAGATTTGAAAAAAGAAAGTTGGAGATTCTAAGACTCTTTCAAGATTCTTTCACATATTTTTAAAAAATACTAGGTAATCGTAAGATTCTTCAAACAGAAATATCCAAAATTCTTTCAAATTTGTAGAAAAAAGACGAAAACAAAACGACAAATGCCCTTGAAATTCTTTCAAATTCTTTCAAAAACAGAAGACAAGAACTCACAAGATTCTTTCAAACTTATTCAAAAAATAAACCACAAAATTTCCCGAGATTCTTCGCATATCCAAAAAAAGACACTAGAAGACCTAAAGATTTTTTCAAACTCTTTTAAAAGATTCTAAGATTCTTTCACATATTTAAAAAAAATACTGGGTAACCCTAAGATTCTTCAAACAGAAATCCCAAAAATTCTTTCAAATTCGAATGAAAAGGACCTTAGATGCTCCGAGATTCTATCAAACTCTTTCAAAAACAAAACAACAAGTATCCTTGAAATCCTTTCTGAAACAAAAGACAAAAACTCACAAGATTCTTTCAAACTCTTTTAAAAACAAACCCACAAGAGTTCCCAAGATTCTTCGCATGTTAAAAAAAATACACCGAAGGACCCAAAGATTCTTTCAAACTATTCCAAACACAAAACACCAGAAATTCCCGACCTTCTTTCAACCTCTGTCAAAAACGAAACAAGATAGGTTTTAGAAATCCTTTGGTATTAAAAAAAAAACAGAGTTGGGGATTCTAAGATTCTTTCAAACTCTTTCAAAATCAAAAACCAGAGGTTCTGCAGATTATTTCAAATTCTTTCAAAACAAAACAAAAAACTTCCAAGATTCTTTCAAAGATAAAGTGCAACAACCCCGAAGAGTCTGTCATATTAAAAAAATACTAGGAAACCCTAACATTCTTGCAAATTCTTTCAAAAATAAAACACGATAGGTTTGAGGGATTCTTTTAAGAACAAAACAAAAGGAATCCTACGATTCTTTTACTTATTTTTAAAAAATCGCCAAGATTCTTTGAAATTTTTCCAAAAGCGAAACAGAGGTCCTCGAGATTCATTCAAATTCTTTCAAAAACCAAACTCGTAAAGTTTTTTACATATTCTAAAGAATGACAATAGATTCTTTCAAACTTGTTTCAAATTCTTTAAAAATTAAACCGCCAATGACAATGAAACTGACCAGTTTCGGAGATTCATATCTTCAGGTCTTTTCATAAAAGTAACATTAAAAGAAAAATAATAAACGATTGAATTCAGTGTTAATTGCATTTTAAAATACATCCAATACAAACATCTAAAGTCAAAGTTCTTACCTGTTAAACACAGAAATTTATATCCATTCGTCTTTCTCGCATCCTGAATCGGTCAGATATCATGATGACGTCACATGCTCTTTACAAAAAATACAAATAAAAGTGTAAAAAATTTGTACATTCCTTAAAAAAATCACAGATCCGACATGAAATCACAGTTCACGTCTTTTTTGCGTCATGCACACCAGTTGTCCCAAACACCTGCGTTATTCCACCGATTATGCAACACATTTCCACCTTCATTTACCAAAAAACGGAAAGCGACAAAAACCCGCCGAAAAAATTTCCTCGCCGCGTGAAAGTGCCCCCGAAAACGAAATTCTTCGAAACGCCGGAAACCAAACCCGTTTGTTATTGGTGAGAAGATTATGTTTTGAAAGACAGCACAACTGGAGCAGGCTCCGAATATCCCCAAGCAAGCCGGCCTCTTTATCCCGCCTATTTTCATGCATACATTTACACGAATATATCTTTATTTGTCCACGGGGTTGTGACAAGTGCGAAAACCTTGTACGCATACTATCTATTTCCTATACCGGTAATCATTGGGTTACTCAATATCATATTTTGCGCTTCAAGATCAGTTCAGTTGAATCGTATCGTTCGACTCGGCAAGTCACTGAATTACGACGATTATTTAGTTCGGATAAAGCGGTGTGATGGTGTACTTACAATCGCGCTGGATACGTCTGCCTGATATGGAGTGTACTTGAGCAAAGGTAAAAATCTGAAACGGTTGTGAAATGGCGTTTTGATTTCGAACGAAAACGAACTAATTTTTGACTTTTTTATTTTTTTTTTTTTAATTTTAAATTTTATTTTTTGTGTCGTGACTGAGGGTAAGAAAGTCTGTAGCGAGGGAGCGTTTGGTCCAGAAGTCAATCGCGTGTTACTTAGTCCTTTACGACTCCATCCATTGTCCGAACATTTGGCGGCAAAAACGACGTTCGTTCCGGTTCATTGGGCAAAAGTTACTTTGTTGCAAATCCACGCAGCGAAATAAATTTATAGTTATTATGATGCGAACCAGTGCAGCAATGCCGGCAATAAAACTGAGTTATGTACAACAAGACGATATTTATTGTGTGTGCAAGCAGTACGTTTTTCGTTTTAAAATGCGAGTATTTACCTCGATATCATCGGATTTTTATTTTTATCTACACTTTATTCCGTACCTGTTCGGTATTCAGCTCGATCTTATTTAAGAGGTCTATTGTGCTGTCGCACATAAAGATAAATCTTTCATCTTCCACTTTTTCGTCGAAATAATTTTATCATAAGCTGTACGTCATGTGCCTTTATAAATTGATGCGAAATGGGACAAAAAATGAGAAAAATCTGGAAATTGCTCACGCTAACTAGAGCTGTTGTGTGCCAGCCAATAAGGATGTGGAAAATTTTCGTTAAACTTTACATGTAAATGACGAAGATCGCCAACAAGGACGCCGACAATGAAACTTTTCTTGAGAGCTATTTACTTGTAAAAGCATCTCTTTAATATTTTATAACACGTGCTCTGACGTTATTTTCTACGCACATTATTACACGACGTCCCATAAAAAGCGAATTACATCGCCTGTTTTATTATTGCCGTCCAAATGTATTTGCACATTTCATTTATTACACTTTTTGTTCGGGTTACTTTATATTCAAAATTAACACCTCTTTGTTAAGATCGGACCGATTACGTGGGATTTTTGAATAAAAAGATCACAAATTTTTGACATAAACGAGATTATTACGATTTCAAAATATACAAGAAAAAAATTACGGCGGAAAAAATGTGCACTCGTTGCGTAAATAAGCGTCGTAATTTTAACATTAGTGTGTTTAGATAGCGTCAGTGTGTAAAATGATGTGTAAAATGTTACATGAATGCGATAAAAATACTCTTTAAGTTCGATTATCGAGTTACCTTCAAGTTATGATGTTTAGATTAAAAGAAAAACTTTCGTCCGAGACCTACAAATTCCGGAGCGACTAAACTTCAAAGCCTGCATGAATTTGTAGATTCGTGTCGGTGAACTTCTCCGCACAAATATTTTTCTTTATCAAAATAAATTCAAACGTATTTAGAGAAAACATTGATGAAATTAATATATTTTGACCCACTTTTCAGCACGAAAATGAAAAAATCGTCCAAATGAACATTAAGTAAACGAAATATTTATAGTTAGTTTGGTAAATTTGGCCACGGGATAATCTACAATGCAAATTACACTTAAATAACAAAAGTGTTTTGATTTTATGTTTTGCAATAACTAATATCGGGAATTGAGTGGAGTTTCCTGAAAATCGTGGGTGTCTTATCTACCTACGTATTGCAAATAGAAAGGGCGTTTGGCGTGAATCAATTACGCAAATTTTTTACGTGTAACGAATAAAAGAAAATTTTCATGAAGAAGTTTATTTAGGGACGCTAAACCGCTGTTTCATCCGAAAATAAAAAATTCCGTTTATTTGGAACTTTTTCATTTGTGAGTGGAAGCTGACATTCCAAACGTACATTTTTATAACGTTTTTCCGGATTTACAAGAATTTTTTTCATTAGTAAAAGTGCAACTTTTAATAAAACTAAAATTGTGTCTGGTGATCACTCCAATCTGGCTCGAGTGACACAAGAAATTAAAAAATGATATCCATCATTATTATTACGTGATTAATTCAAATCTGTCAAATTAACTTCAAAACGAAACTTAATAAAACTAATAATGAAACTACTTCTGAAATTAAAAACATTGCAATTGCAATGTTTGATTGATGGTTGTATATTTGACACAATCTGAATTAGCCAGATATGATAAATGATCACCCTGTATAGCGGTTTTAAAGCTAGTGAAATTGCGCTACCGTGTCCTACTCTCATTCTGGATGACTAAATTAAAAAGTCAAGGCGAATTCATAAACTACAAGTACACGAATATGTCATTTTATAAAATTTCAATAGCATTCAGAGGTGACTAAACAAATTTTGGTTAGCGTTTTGTCATCTCTAAAATTTGACAACAAACGGTCCAATAGTTTCAGACATCTTCTGTCTAATAAAAAGCGATACAGACGGAAATGGGGGACCTATTTTTCATTCTCTAGGATAAAATGTAGTAAGATTTTTGGAGATTTGTATCTTACGGGAGCTAAAATGTGTTTCTAATATTCGACTGTAGAGTTTAGTGGTTGAGTCGAAGTCGAGGGATTAAATTTCAACTCAATAATATGATCGTGATCTATAAAATCTCATTGATAAAGCATTGCGTAAAATGTGCCTTTAATATGCTACAAAAAAATTAGTTGAAAGTCATTTCGATTGAACTTCCCTCGCTTCTGAAGTACAGCTCAACAAATTCTGCTTTTTTGAAAAATTATAACATTTTTTTTTACTTTTTCGTGATGAACTCTACGCAATTGAAAAAAAGGGTTCGCCTTTAAAAAAAAAAAGACAGTAGAGAATCCCGATAAGATTTAATATACTTTAAAAAAAGACATTTGGGGCTAGGTTTCGCCTTTTTAAAAAAAGGAGAGTTGGGACCCCCCCGAGAAGGTTTTACATTCTTAAAAAAATATATTTAGGGCCCCCGAGAAGGTTTCACATTTTTAAAAAAGAGAGTTGGGACCCCCGAGAAGGTTTCACATTATTAGAAAAAACACATTTGGGACCCCTGAGAAGGTTTTATTTAAAAAAAACAAACAGTTGGGACCCCCGAGAAGGTTTCACATGCTAAAAGTAGAAAAATTGCAAATCAAAAATTGAAGAAAAGAAAAATTGAAACATCGAGAAACTGAAAAATCTAAAATTGAAAAAACGAAAATTAACAATTTTCTCATTGAAAGAAGAAAAATTATAAAATCAGAACCTTGAAAAACCGAAAAATTTTAAAAATTAATAAATAAATAAAAATTGAGAAAATAAAAATCCTAAAGAAAAAATAAAAACCGAAAAATTCGAGGAATGAAAAATCGAAAAATTGAAACATCCAAGTTAGAAAATCGAAAAATTGAAAATTTTTTCAAAATGAAAACTTGAAATACATATCTCAAATTGAAGAAACAAAAAGAAAAAGAAAAATTGCAAAATCGAAAAATTAAAGAAAGGAAAAATTGAAAAAAATCAAGGCTAAAAAAACAAATTATAAAATCGAAACATTGAAACATTAAAAAATTGAAAAAAATGGGACAATAAAAACCCGAAACAAAAAATTGCAAATCGAAAAACTAAAAAAAACGAAAAATTGAAAACCCAAAAATTGGAAAATCCAAAAATCGAAAAATTTCGCATTGAATGAAGAAAAATTGTAAAATCAGAACGTTGAAAAACTGACAAATTGAAAAAATAAAGAAAACAGAAATCCGAAACAAAAAAAAACAAATCAAAAAATTGGTTTCACAATATTAAAAAAAGACATTTGGAACCCCCGAGAAGGTTTTACTTAAAAAAAAAAAACATTTGAGACCCCCGAGAAGATTTTATCTTCTTAAAAAAAATACATCTGGCGCCCCCGAGAACGTTTTACGAATAAAAAAAAACATTTGGGATCCCCGGGAAGGTTTCACCTTCTTAAAAAAATACATTTGCGCCCCCGAAAAGATTTTACATTTTTAAAAAAGACAATTAGGACCCCTGAGGAGGTTTTTCTTTCTTAAAAAAATACAACTGGGGCCCCCGGAAGGTTTTACATTTTTAATAAAGACAGTTGGGACTCCCGAGAAGGTTTCACTTAAAAAAAAGACATTTGGGGCCCCCGAGGTTTTACTTAAAAAAAAAACAAACAGTTGGGACTCCGGAGAAGGTTTCACATTCTTAAAAACGACAGTTAGGACCCCCGAGAAGGTTTCACATTCTAAAATTAGAAAAATTGCAAATCAAAAATTGAAGGAAACAAAAATTGAAACATCAAGAAACTGAAAAATCTAAAATTGAAAAAACGAAAATTAAAAATTTTCTCATTGAAAGAAAAAAATTATAAAATCAGAATCTTGAAAAACCGAAAAATTTTAAAAATTCTGAAAATAAAAATCCTAAAGAAAAAATAAAAACCGAAAAATTCGAGGAATGAAAAATCGAAAAATTGAAACATTCAAGCTAGAAAATCGAAAAATTGAAATTTTTTTCAAAATGAAAACTTGAATTACATATCTCAAATCGAAGAAACAAAAAGAAAACGAAAAATTGCAAAATCGAAAAATTGAAGAAACGAAAAATTGAAAAAAATCAAGGCTGAAAAAACAAATTATAAAATCAGATCATTGAAAAATTAAAAAATTAAAAAAAATGGGAAAATAAAAATCCGAAACAAAAAATTGCAAATCGAAAAATTAAAAAAAAAACGAAAAATCGGAAACCCAAAAATTGGAAAATCCAAAAATCGAAAAATTTCGCATTGAATGAAGAAAAATTATAAAACCAGAACGTTGAAAAACCGACAAATTTAAAAAATAAAGAAAACAAAAATCCGACACAAAAAAAAAACACATCGAAAAATTCGTCAAATTGTAAAATCTGAAAATTGAAATATCCAAAAGTTGGAAAACCTAAAAAGTGAAACATTTTTCAAACTGGAAACTTGAAATTACATATTGTCAAATTGAAGAAACAATAAAATGAAAAATTTCAAAACTGAAAAATTGAAGAATGGAAAAATTGAAAAATTGAAATTGAAAAAATAAATTATGAAATCGGAACATTTAAAAATTAAAAAAATTAAAAAATAAGAAAATTAAAAAC